CCTTGTCACACAGAAAATGCAAACATACAAATTAAATGTCTTCCTTGCCAGTCCTCTCATGATTAGTTTCGGCAATAGTTGGCAACTGGAGGGAGCCTGGAAACCTGGGAAAATGTTTGATAACTACTCATGCCAGTCTTGCCTCATTAGCTGCTCTAACCTTCACAAGGATAGTAACTTTCAGTCTGCACATTATTACTACATACAATACAGGAGTGGCAAAAGTATGATTACAGTTTTTAGTCCGCAAAGTTTATTTATTATCATTTATTAATTACTAGAGACCCAGTGTGCTAATTTGTGTACAGGTGGGGTCCCTTGGCCAAGCCAGCAATCAGGGCTGTTCAGGGCCATCTTGCCCAGTCCCTATGGGGGTGATCAAGGCCGGCTGGTAGGAAGGCAGGAGGGACTGGGGATGTTGGTGGCTGGTGGGGGGGATAGGACGATTGGGGGCAGTGGCCAGGGAAGAGGGATCAAGGGAGATTGGCCTGCTGGCCCTGTTCAGGGCCGATTGGGAAGAGTGACCACGGGAGGTTGGGTGGTCATGGGAGTTTGGCTGTGGGAGCACACTGACCACGCTGCTCCCCTGCCAGCCTAATAGCCCCCAACTGCCCTCTCCTGCTGGCCTGAATGCCCCTAAGGCTTTTATTATTATATATATGACCCTTCACAGAAAATTTCACTAACTCTGCTTTACAATAAGGGCTTGATGATTCAATCATTGGGGCCAGACACCAAGATATCCTTTCTTTGAATAGGGATGGGAATAATTATCTTGTCTTTAAGTTGCTCTGAACATCAAATGAGATAATGACTTAGAAAAGTATAAAAGCACCATATAAAGAAAATTGTCTTTTTCATGTACTGAAAAGACAATAAGGTGGTAAAATGAAAAACACGATTTTTATTCTCCCCCTTCCTTCCTTTACAGCCTCTACTTAAACTTTGATATTTATAAAGATTTCACTCCTATTTTCATTTCTTTACATTCAATATTATTTTGTATTAGTTTCATGTTTTATATTAGTTACAGAATAGTGGTTAGAGACAATCATATATTTTACAAAGTGTTCCCTGATATTTCCAGTACCCACCTGGCATCATATCGTCATTACAACACTATTGACTATTGACTATATTCCCTTTTTAAGTGACAATAGGTTTACAGGTTCCTTCCAATCTTTCTTTTCTGTTGCTTGTCCTTCCTTTTCATTCTCACTTCTTCCCTCATTTTCTTGATATATATCTCCATTGGCCCTCCAAGCTCAGCCAAGGCACTGAGACACGCTTAATCCATTTTACAGACCAGGAAACTGAGGCCAATTCCAGTTGGCTGCGGAACTGGACTCAGAGTGCAGGGAGCCCTCACAGCCATGCTCTCTGCCCTTCCTAAGGGGCAGCCACAGGGCAAACAGAATAAACGTCCCATCGGGCCTCTGAGCCTTGTTCTCAAACACCTCTTCATCGCCCACCCTCCACATTCTTTCCTCTCCCCCCCTCCACCCCCATTCTTCACTGCCCTCTCCCCAGACCCCCTTCTCTAGAGCAGGCAGTAAAAATCGCCACCTCTGAAGTGCAAAGGCTGCTCAGGCCAGTGCCAGGAGCTTCTCTGAATCATGTCAGTCAGTGGGGCACCCAGCAGGGCGGCACCCCTCCACTGAGGTGGCATTGCCCCTCAACCCCCGCCTCAGGGCTGCTATCTGAGCCCTCTCTCTGCCTGGCATCTTGCCATACCCCTTGTTCCCCGGACTGACCTGCATCCTGGGGCCACTGCAGAACCTGGCTCTCTGCTCTCTGCAGGAGATGCAGATCTCTGCCCGCCAGTGGCTGGAGCCCCCTCTGGTACACCCGCCTCGCCAGGTTCTTGCCTTTGATCTGTGGCATTGGTGACAGCACACTCCTAGCAAGCCTGGTACCCAGAGGAGGACAGGGGCAATTCTTTGTCCAGAACGTTAGAGGTTGCAGTAACATTTGCAGATGGCGCCCAGAGCCTGCTGGTGAAGGCAGCGCCTGTGTGGAGTGTCCTCATAGACTCGCAGTGAAGGCGAACCTTTTGAGCTCAGCGTGTCAGCATTTTGAAAAACCCTAACTTAACACTGGTGCCGTGTCACATATACAAATTTTTTGATATTTGCAACCATAGTAAAACAAAGACTTATATTTGTGATATTTATTTTATATATTTAAATGCCATTTCACAAAGAAAAATCAACCAAACAAATGAGTTCGCCTGTCACCTCTGACATGCATGTCACCTCTGGCACGCGTGTCATAGGTTCGCCATCACTGTGCAGGACGGCGGGGTGCTGCTCTGCACCTCTTGGGCTACCCGCCTCCTCCCTGGCCGCTTCACCAAACCTGGGGCAATCACCCAGGTGCCGCCCCTCAGGCAGGCCCGCAGTCCGGCCTCCGCCTCTGCTAGGTCTCCACCCTCAGCTGGGTCACCTCCTTTCCTCCACATTCGGCCTTTATCCATCCCTCTCTCCGCAGTGCTTGCGCTCCAGGCCCCAAAGAAAAGGACCAAAGCCAAGAAGGACAAAGCCCAAAGGACATGAGTCTTGAACCCCCACATCCCATTCTCTGCATTTCCTCCCACACCTCCTCTGTGTCACAGCTTGAACGGGCGCCCTGCGGCCCAGCCACATGGCCTCCGGGCGGCCAGGTAGAGTCAGTCTCCGTGAAGCTGTGGATCTGTGGCCAGAGGCCCGGCCTGGGCTCAGCAACCCCATGCCTGCTGCAGAGCCCTGTTGGAGGAGGACCGGAGCCCGTCAGTCATTAGCTCCCCAACTCCAGAGGAGGCACCACAGGCTCATGTCCCAGCCTCAGGCCCAGCTCTCCCTGCCCACCCCCCTTCC